CTCTGGTTCTCGAGTCAATTTCTATGCTGCCACGTAACGGTCAACGCCCATTGTTAGTCCTAATCGAAGACGGTCAAGACAAAGTCAAAATCGACAAAAAAATTGACGGATCCGTCTACGATACTTACGAGGGGTTGTTGGAAACCGGAGATTCCGGATTCGAATGGATCCGACCCGCGGGAGAATGGGATCCGATCACACTTAATTACACTTCCGGCACCACTTCATCTCCGAAGGGAGTAGTCCACTCCCACCGGTCAATCTATGCCATGACCGTTGACTCTTTGATAACCTGGTTCGTCCCGGACCGGCCGGTTTACCTGTGGACACTGCCCATGTTCCACTCCAATGGGTGGTGCTTCACTTGGGGCATGGCGGCGGTCGGCGGCACCAACATTTGCCTTCGAAAAGTCGAACCCGACACGGTCTACTCGCACATCGAGAAGTACAACGTTACACACATGTGCGGCGCGCCGGTGGTACTCAACATGTTGGCCAATTTTCCCCTAGCCAAGCCGCTCAAGTCCCCTGTCAGATTCCTCACCGGCGGCGCTCCGCCGCCGGCGTCCGTGGTTCTACGTATCGAATCACTCGGATTCATCGTGAACCACGGGTACGGGCTGACAGAGGTCTCGGGAGTGGTGGTTTCCTGCGCGTGGAAGCCAAAATGGAACGGGTTAACACCGGAGGAACGAGCGAGGCTGAAGGCGAGACAAGGGGTGAGGTCTCTCGGGATGATGGCGGTGGATGTGGTGGAGGAGGGGTCCGGGAAGAGCGTGAAGCGGGACGGGGTCACGGTGGGGGAGATCGTCCTCAGAGGACATTCTATAATGTTGGGTTACCTTAAAAACCCCGAGGCGACCAAAAAGGCCTTGAAAGACGGCTGGTTCTATACAGGAGACGTCGGGGTGATGCACCCCGACGGCTACCTGGAAATCAAGGACCGGTCGAAAGACATCATAATCACCGGCGGGGAGAATGTGAGCAGTGTGGAGGTGGAGTCGGTTCTTTACTCACACCCGACGGTGTTTGAGGCGGCGGTGGTGGCTCGGCCGGACGAGTTTTGGGGAGAAACGCCGTGCGCTTTTGTAGCTCTACACCCAAACATCAACAATTGCCCTGAGCGGGAGAAGCCGACCGGGAATGACATTATAGAGTTCTGCCGGGAAAGGCTGCCGCATTATATGGTGCCGAAAACAGTGGTTTTCATTGAAGAGCTTCCCAAGACGTCCACCGGAAAAGTTCAGAAATTTGAGCTGAGAGGAATGGCGAAGAAGTTGGGGACAGTGGGCATTAGTAGTCGAATGTAACAAGCGACGACCCCGATCCAAACACTCCCGTCAATTCTTTTTTCCTTCATTTTCTCACATTTGTTTTTGATCGTATATATGCTAAAATATAAAGTTATAAACTCAATTGTTTGTAATTTTTCATACTACTATACGACTAATATATACGGAGCAAATTGGTAAAACTAGCTAGATGAGACTAGCACACTACTACATTCCACTCATTATGTGCAATATTTGAGATTGAACCGTTCATTATCCCGTTGGGTTGTGTCAATTTTCCTCTTGTACTTGTCACAAAAAACTTTTGCACTTTTTTACTAAAGTAATTAATTTGTGATTTTGCTCATTTTTTGTTCTATGCACAAACATTAACCATATAATTTACATTTTTTTATTTATCACCTAATTTTAAATTAACAAAGTTCACCGAGATGGGTGTGATAGTATTATTATTGTTATGAGTACCTATCATTAAAACTTCTACTAGTATAATCTTAATTAATTAACTAACATTTATTTCTTTCACCTACCGCTAGTCCGTAGCTGATTCCAAATAAACTCAATAGGTAGTTCACTACTTCACTCCCTTAGCTTCATTCGATTTGTTGTCTTAGCTTGTTGATCAATTTTCGTGTTTGGTAAAACCGTAAAACATCCTCCATACAATCTGAACAATGAGAAAAAATGCACATAGATAAGGAAAAATGAGCTAGGCTTGACTATTGACTAATATAAAGATGTTCCAATAAATTTTACATATATATTTTATCTTTTTACTGAATTAAAGGTTAGCTTATACGTACATAGGTAGTCCAATTCATAGTGTGAAAAGATTAAGACACGAATATTTGAAAATCCTTACACATTTGTCAATATTTATCGGTACAAACTAATGTCAATAGTCAGGAACTTTAATAGATCGAACCTTCGCCAGTATTATCTCCCAATTCTTTGAAAATTGTGCACTTTGTAACATGTAAGCTCATAATTAGAATAATACAAGCTTATCTTTCATCAACAAAAGATAATAAGTACATACTTTTGAAATGATTTTCAATAATACCAACTATTTGACTATATAACAAAATTGATATAACGACATTTCACCAAGAATTCAGTCATTTGATTTATCAAAAACTAATATTAATATATCAAATAGTGCTAGACTCGGGCCGGTTCGGGCCCGGTTCGGGCCTGGGCCCGGCCGGGCCTCGGGCCAGGAAAGGGAGGCCCGAGCCCGAACCGCCGGTGGCCGGTTCCGGGCCAAACCGGGCCGGGCTGGGCCGGGCCGAACCGGCCCAATTATTTTTTTTGTTCTCCTATTTAATCTCCTACCCCTCCCCCTCAACCCCAAACCATCCCAAACCACCTCAAATGGCCCAAAATACCTAATCCAACCTAAAACTTAAAAAAATTTCAAAAAAAAAAAAATTAAAATCCGGCCCGGACCGGGCCCGAACCGGCCGGGCCGGTTCACCAAAACCTGGGCCCGGGCCCGAACCGCCCAGCAGCCGGGCCGGGCCGAACCGAACCGGTGGACCCACCGGGCCCCGGGCCGGGCCGGGCCGGGCCAAATAGTAACCGGGCCGGGCCGGGCCGATTCCGGGCCGGGCCGATTCCGGGCCGGGCCGCCCGGCCCGAGTCCAGCACTAATATCAAATAAGTAACCATATTAACAAATATCAATTATTTGGTGATTTCACATCTGTAAAAGTATTAGTCCCACGCCGGAAAAAACTATAAAACAATAAAACACTACATAAGAGTTACTCCTCCTATCAGGTTGACCTGTTAGGATGGAGCCCCGGATCTTAACATGACATCAAAGCCAAATTGATCCATGGTGTGGGCCCCCTTATGAAAAATGATTGACATAATTATAAAAAAATGACAATAATGAATCGATGAAAAAAATGAATGACACCACAATCCAGAAAAAGTGTCTGGTCGTGAGGAGAGGTGTTGAATTCCTACACCGGATATTTGTAAAGACATTAAGTGCTATATTAAGATGTGGATTACTCCCCCCATCAGACCCATCAGATTGACCTTTAAGGATGGAACCTCAGATTTTGAAATTGTATCAGAGCCAAGTCTTGTTGTGGTTTGACAGCTTGTTTAACACCCATGATTAAGGGTAGCTTGTTAAAGGTCTGTTTGACCCATTTATACACCCCGATATTGTTCAACCCAATTCGAGCTCAGGGTGCGTGTTAAAGTATTTGTCTCACACTGAAAAATACAGAACAATAAAACACTAATAAGCTTTTGGGATACTCCTCTTATCAGATTGACATTTCAGGATAGAACCCCACATCTTAACAATAAATCAACAAACACTTAGAAGGCTTTCCACGAAAGATAGAGCAAGGGGCGGTTCTGGAACAACAAGGAAATAATACACAATTTCAGCCTTTACACGGTCCTATGGACAATCTGGAGGGCCCTGCGACGAGTCCAATTTATTGAACAGGTCGAGGGGAGGGCCCTTGAACAGGACGACTGGAGAGCCCTTGAATAAGACGATGGGAGGGCCCTTGTTCCGGCGAACGAGAACAAATATGAACACAGAAATAATATTCAGAATGCTAGCAGTGTTTTTCGAGAGCTCAAAAGTACGTGAGTTCGTTTGTGAATGTGTATTGTTGTAAACCACCTGCTAGCCAATTTATAGGAGGATTTGTGGTGTGTTAACTGACCTTTAATGGACCTGAACGTTGGACACAAATGATCAACACAATGTGCATTAATATGTCGCGAAACCGTCCATTTAAAGATGCATTAAAAGATAAGAACGTTGGGTATTAACTGCTGTAACAGACTAGAACAGAACACCCCGAGGTGTTCTGTCCGAGCTCCGCAACAGAGGACATCTAGGCCTTCTGTCCGAGCCTCGTAGCAGAAGATCCCAGGCCTTCTGTCCGTGTTCGAGCAGTTCTGTTGCGCGGAAGACGTGTTCTGTCCGAACAACAGTTCTGGGAAAAAATAAAACGTTATGGGAAGAAACAAAAATTAGATTGTATCTTTGAAAGATAGATTTTTGGACGACATTCGTGTCCGCAGGTCGGACACGCACCCAAGTCGCGGTTTTTTCTTCTCCGTTTCGGGATTTGATTTGCACCCCCCTCGCGCGCGAGAGAGAGCCTTTCCACTTAGGAATCTTAACTCCTTAAAAGAGGCTTCCATTTTTAAGGGGTTGCAAATCCCTTGGGTTTTCCGGTGTGGGAACTAACAGTTTTTTCTCAGTTTTTCCATTCTAACGGGTAAACTTCGAGAATCAATTTCTCATTCACCCGTTATCCGTTTTGAGCGTACCACATATCGAATTGTATCCCTTAACAAGAACAATCCGAAACCACTTTGACCCGATCAAAATCAAAAGTGGACCCCACTAAAAAATTGACCCAAAATTACCGTTTAATGCAATTTTAACACATTTTTCCAACATATAGTTCTGGAAAATACGGAGTAGTAACTTTTAATTGTAAAGTTCTTGTAAAGACATTCATTCTTGTTTAATCACAAACCAAGTTACTGTTAGGAATTTAACTCACAAACACGAAGAACAATTAAAGAACACACGAAATTTGGTAACCCAGTTCGTCACAGAGGACTACGTCTGGGGGCGCTACCAAGCCAGGAATGTTATTAATATTTTCTGGATGCAGATTACAAGAGAGGAGAGTGGTATTTATAGAGATGCAGTGTCTTGTTCCCAAAGCAACATAACCCCTAATTAAATTAGGATGTGTTTCCAAAAATAAATTAAGAAACGTGTTTCCAAGAATAAATTAAGAAACTGTCTCTAACACCTTACAATCTCCCACCTTGAGACTGTCTTCTTCAAATCCTCCCTTGTTAGCATGGTAGCGCCGGCCTTCAACTTCAAGTACCAAGGCCAATTGAAGCTATGCAAAGCTTCAACTTCTCCAAGGTTACCACCTTAGTAAACATGTATGCTGGATTCTCACTCCCACGGATCTTCGCAAGCTGCAATGCCTCTATCTCTAGAAGATGACGGATGTAGTGATACTTCAACCGAATGTGTTTGGTTCTCTTGTGAAAAGTTGAGTTGTTTGCCAAGAAGATAGCACTTTGACTGTCACTGTAAAGAATGTTATTCTTGTACCCCTTCCCAAGTTCCCCAAGTAAATTCTGAAGCCACACCATCTCCTTACTTACCTCCGTAATGGCCACATATTCTGCCTCTGTAGTAGATAATGCAACAATCTTCTGCAGCTGCGAAAGCCAAGATACTGTTGTCCCACCAAATGTAAAAACATACCCTGTGGTGCTTCTTGATCCATCCGAGTCATTTGATGCCAGATCTGCATCAACATGTCTCAGCAGCTCTACATTCTTTCCATCAAAACACAAAGCATTAGAAGCAGTACCTTTCAAATACCTCATGATCCACTTCACAGCTTCCCAGGGTTCTTTCCCGGGGTCTCCCATGTATCTGCTCACTACTCCCACTGCATGTGCAATGTCTGGCATCGTGCAAACCATAGCGTACATGATGCTGCCAATTGCCGATGCGTATGGAATCTTCTGCATTTGAGCACAGTCCTTCTTGTTCTTTGGAGAATCTTCCTTGCTAAGCTTGAAGTGACTACCCAATGGAACACTTGCAGCCTTAGCATCTTGCATTCTGAATCTTTCCAAGACCTTCTGAATGTATTCTGCCTGTGAAAGAAACAATCTGCCCGCTGCCTCATCCCTCTCGATTCGCATGCCCAAAATCTGCTTTGCCTCTCCAAGATCCTTCATGGAAAAATGTTCTGACAACTGTTTCTTTAGCTTCTCAATCTCCTTTGAACTAGCTCCTGCAATCAACATGTCATTTACATATAATAGCAAGATAAGATAACAGTTCTCAGTCTTCTTATAGTGACATCTCAAGAAACTGATTTCCCGCATGAAACCATCAAATTTCTTGTACCACTGCTTCGGTGCCTGCTTCAACCCGTATAAGCTCTTCACTAGCTTGCATACGAGATTCTCACTGCCCTCTGCCACATAGCCCTCTGGTTGCACCATGTAAATCTCGTCATTCAGATCACTATGAAGGAATGCAGTCTTCACATCCATCTGATGTAACAACAAATTTTCTGCACCAACTAACCCCAACACCAACCGAATAGTAGTTAGTTTCACAACTGGAGAGAATATGTCGGTATAATCAATACCATAGCGCTGCTCAAACCCCTTCACAACCAGCCTAACTTTGTAGCGTTTGCTACCATCTGCCTCCTTCTTGATGCGGTAAACCCACTTGCAGTGCAAAGCCTTTGATGAGTGTTTTCTCGCACATAAAAAGATTGTAATATAGTGGTGTAAGTACGAGTATCGTCTCCACAGGGACGGACAAAAGGGAATCAAAGATTAACTAAATTCAGCGATTAAAAAGAAATAAATAAAAATGCGTCGTGAGAGATTGGTTGCTGGAAAATAAAAATGCGAATAAAATGATTAAACTAGGGGGTTCTTTCTAATTAATGACGAAGGGAACAGGGATCGATTCTAGGGTAACCAGATTTCTGGCAGATCAGGCCTAATTACATGAAATTAATTTAATTGAGCCTAGCTAATCATTACTAAGTTCTTACCGCTCTCGCAGCGTAGAGTACAATAATTTAGGGGACCAGGCTGATCTCTCATGCGACAGGATCCTAAATTATTGCCAATACGAGCGAGCTTACGGCCCCTTAATCACTACTAATCTCTTAGCAAACGATTAAGTGTGTGTGAATGTGTCCTAAAACAAATTAACCCCTTCATCAATCCCAAATCCCTAATTATAACTACTCACAATTCATAATTGAAGAATCAATATAATTGGAATAAAAAGAATTAATCGTCATTAATTAAAAAGGTGGAACTTACAAAGAATCCCAAAAGATTGATGAACAAGGCTGAAAAGCCCTCTAAAATTCGTGCTAGGCACTTCTCTAAGCTCCCCCTGAAAACGGGGGTTTACAGGCTGTTTAAATCGAAAAATCGGGTGAAATTTGAGCTGAATTAGGATTTTCGGAGCCAGGCACGATCGTGCCTTCTATCGTGCCTCCGGAGCAAAAACGCGCATTTTGGGCAGGCACGATCGTGCCTCCCTCCAGGCACGATCGTGCCTCCCTCCAGGCACGATCGTGCCTGACTGGCAGTAACTCTGCGGTGCTTTTCTCTTCAGGCACGATCGTGTCTGACTTTGAGGGCACGATCGTGCCTACTTAACTTCCGAATTTGACAAAAATTCCTTCATGAAAGTTGTAGATAATGAAGTCCTCTATCCACTCCAATTTGCCGAATGTGATTTGAATCACCCAATCAAGAGATATGATCAAAACGGTGGAAGGTGTCTTTCTGAAATCGCAGCAGAGATCATCTGATTTCATCGTCTGTGTTCACCTTCTTCCTCTCCGATTCTCGCAAAGGTGTCTTCAAATCATTTGTAGCCCTTGAAGTTAGCTTTCATATGGAACTTGAATCGTGTACATTGGATGTTTCTAGAAAGAGATATGCTTGAAGGATTGACATAAGGTCATCCTGATCATCGTTTTCAAGCTTCATTCATCTTCTTTTGACCCCGTAGCCAATCCTAGAGCTCTTTTTCCTTCAAATCTTCATCGTGAATCTTCCGGTGACCTCCAAAGCTATCAAATAAATCTCAAATGCTTCTCAAATCATCCCGATTGTTCCTCAAGTGCCGGTACCGGGCTCAAATTCCCTAATTTTGACTACAAACAACACAAAACTCGAACCAACGCCCGGTAAACATAACTTGAGCTAAAATTGAGACTTGCAATACCTTAAAGCTAGGGAAACCATCAAAATCCGATCTCAACACACATCAAATGCGCGTCAAAATACGGACTTATCAGCCTTCTTTCCTCTCGGTAGTTCAACTAACCTCCAAGTATCATTGGATGTGAGAGATGCCATCTCATCATCCATTGCAAGTTTCCACTTGCCCTTGTCATCAACCCGAACTGCCTCTGCATAGGACTCCGGTTCACCACCGTCAGTAAGCAACAAATAGAAACTAGAATGTGAATACCTATTTGGTGCTCTTCGGTTCCTAGCAGGCCGCCTTGGCGGAGTTGATGGATCCTCATCACTGCTCATCTCTTCATTCTGATCCTGCTTGCTCCCACCCGAATTAGAGATATCAAGCTCTACGATCTTCGGACTTTCTTGCTCAGAATCAGATGCGCTCAATCTGTCCTTGTACAGAACCTGTTCGTTGAACACCACATCTCGACTAGGAATAATCTTCCTATTCTGCTCATCCCAGAATCTGTATCCATAGTCATCACTACCATATCCAACGAACGTACACTTTACAGATTTTGCGTCTAACTTGCTTCGGTCAACGGAACTGATATGAACATAAGCAACACAACCAAATATGCGGAGATAGGACAGATTTACCTCTTTACCCGTCCACCTTTCTTCAAGAATGCCATTCTCCAACGAGATCGTTGGACTTCTGTTGATGAGAAAAGCCGCGGTGTTCACTGCATCCGCCCAAAACATCTTCGGTAAGCCATTCTTCAACCTCATGCATCTAGCCCGCTAATTCAGTGTTCTGTTCATGCGTTCAGCAACGCCATTATGCTGCGGAGTCCCCTTAGTTGTCTTCTCCATACGAACCCCATTCTCAGCACAAAAATTCTTGAACTCATGCAGTTCATACTCACCCCCATTATCTGACCGAAGGCACTTCAACTTCAGACCTAACTCTGTCTCAACACGAGCTTTTCACCTCCTGAAAGCATCAAAGGCATCGGATTTATTTTTGAGAAAATAAACCCACACCTTTCTTGTGGCATCATCAATAAAGGTCATGTAGTAGGCGGATCCTCCCAAGGATGTAACTTCTGCAGGTCCCCAAAGGTCGGTGTGAACTAGTTCCAGCTTCTCCGGTTTGATAGATCGTCTTCCCTTTGAGAAACTGACACGTTTCTGTTTCCCGAATATGCAGTCCTCGCATAAGCCAACCTCAACAGTCTTCAGGCCGGGCAGTTTGCTCTTCGAGCACAGCTCCTTCATCCCCTTTTCGCTCATGTGACCGAGCCGACAGTGCCACAAATTCACATCGTTTGTTACAGCGGCAACAACATCGATGCAGTCCTTTGAGTTCGTTGTCATGTACAACGTACCCTCCTTCTTCCCCTTAGCAACCAGCAAGGCTCCCTTGGTGATCTTCCAATTTCTGCTGCCGAATGTAACGGCATAACCTTCCTCATCTAGCTGCCCAATTGAAAGAAGATTCCTCCTCAAACCAGGAATGTGTCGGACACCATTTAGTTTCAGCATGCATCCGTTCGGAGTCTTCACGTGGACTGTCCCCTTCCCGACAATTTTAAGAGGCTCATCATCAGCAGGATACACCTCTCCGAAATTGCCGGGAGTATACTGTTCCATCACTTCAGAGTTACCACATGAATGGAGCGAGGCTCCAGAATCCAGAACCCATGACTCCAACGGACTGCTCACGCTTAGAATCAGGAGATCATCACCCAATGATTCTGCCGCTGCATTGGCAGATGTCTTCTCCTTCTGATCCTTGATCTGCTCCTTGAACTGGCTCTTGAAGTGTCCGTACTCCTCATAATTCCAGCACTTGATCTGACTTCTGTCCTTCTTGCCCTTGCTGTTTGACTTGGATTTGGATCTTGATCTATCCCGATTTGACTTTGACTTTGACTTCGTTCTGCCCAGGTTCTCTGTACTCAACGCCGATCCAGAAGCTAAACCTGATTCCTTCATGCGAATTTCTTCGCTGACCACCAGATTTCTGACTTCATCGAATTTCAGTTTCTCCTTCCCTGCCGAAGTGCTGACTGCAGTCACCGTTCTGTTCCAGCTTTCCGGGAGAGAAGACAGCAGAATTAGGGCATGAATTTCGTCGTCGAACTTGATCTCAACCGCGCTCAATTGTGTGGTGATTAAATTGAACTCGTTGAGATGCTCCACAACTCATGTGGTTTCTGACATCTTAAGGTTAAAAAGACGCCTCATGAGATGTACCTTGTTCGCAGCAGAAGGTTTCTCATACATATCCGTTAATATTCGCACCACGCTCATCGCTTTCATGTCCAGCAACTTCCAATCGCTCTCCTTCATGACTTCCGGCTTATCCTCCAGAGGTTGATACAGATCTTTACCGTACAGGTAATCTTCGATCTGCAGCTTCTAGAAGCCGAAATCAGTCCCATCAAACTGCATCAACGGTGTCTTCAAATCTGCCATCGTGTTGAACTCTCCCTTCAAACCTAGGGCTCTGATACCAGTTGTTAGGAATTTAACTCACAAACACGAAGAACAATTAAAGAACACACGAAATTTGGTAACCCAGTTCGCCACAGAGGACTACGTCTGGGGGCGCTACCAAGCCAGGAATGTTATTAATATTTTCTGGATGCAGATTACAAGAGAGGAGAGTGATATTTATAGAGATGCAGTGTCTTGTTCCCAAAGCAACATAACCCCTAATTAAATTAGGATGTGTTTCCAAAAATAAATTAAGAAACGTGTTTCCAAGAATAAATTAAGAAACTGTCTCTAACACCTTACCGTTACAATTGAAGACTTGAAGTTGTATTCAGTGCTCCAACTCCTATCCAACTTCATCATAATTACAACACCAGATTCGACGTGTATAACTAGGGGAGACAAGAAATTAGAAGTAAACAGAACATACACCGATAAAATACCAATCTTTAATGAATATACGAAGTATATGCCAAGTTTATGGCATTCAAATTAAATTTATTATCATGGATGCAGGGAACATCCAGATCTTCATCTTCCCACTAAACAATGAAAAATGAAGTATGCGAGTACAACAATATAGGAAATATCATAGCAAGTGCAAAATTAAAAAAACGTTGACCGATTCATGTTTTAAAAAACTGGGTATGAAACAATGAAAGTTAATAAACAAAAATTTAAAAGTGCAAACGGTGGTCATTTACTTGTAATAACGAGAAGCATAAATAAAGTACGTAGTAAAAGATAGTCAGAGAGGAGAATGAGATTATTACCAGAGCGGTTACAACCGCTTCAATAAAACAATGGATTCTGGCCAGTGACTTGCGTAGGATCGAAACAGAGGTTGTAGTTGACTAATGAAGAATTGAAGATGCAAGGAAAGAAATTGGAAGAAACCAAAATTCATGAGCGAAAAAATGGAACAGATAGTCAGATAGAGATGAGCGTAATTGATGATAGAAAGAAAGAAACGATTCGAAAAACCGACCAAAAACGGTTAGGGTAAGTTTGGAATGAGACTGCCGTGTGTTTTACTAATAGGATCTAAATAAATGGTCTTATTATACAAAAAACATAGAAGATCCTCTTTATGCATTTCCCTATCTTTTAGTCCTACATGGACAATTTCTTCTACATAATGGGCGTGTTTGATATTCAACGGTTAGCGGATAGCAGGTTATGTTAGCGGGTTGTCAATAACGGATTCGGTCAGTGGGTTTGACCAACGGAATAAATTGGCGGGTTTTCAGAAGATGTTTGATAATTGAAAGAATGACAGGAATAGGACTTACGGCTATTCAAAAGACGAAAATAAGTGGAAATCCCGGTTGGACAAAAAACTAATCAAAAGTGCTGTTTATTGTCTAAAATACCCTTCACTTCTTGAAAAAGGGACGGCCCAATCTCATTCACGCTACACTCCAACATCGACGCTGGAGCCAATCTCGACGCTAAACTCCTCCAAGCCGCCCCTGCATCTCACGCCGCTGCCTTCGCCGCCGCCCTGCCTTCGCCGTCACCCTGCCTTCGCCGCTGCCATCACCGTCGCCTCAGGTTCAGCTCTCATCTTTCTCTTCTTCTCTCTTCTTGCTGTCTGCAATCTCTCCTCCCATTCCAACCTCTCGCCCGTCAGCATCTTCACCGGCTTCGCTCCTACAGTGGCGACGGACCTCTCTCTTCGGCGTTAGAACGAGAGATCTACAGCGACCTCCGATTCTGCTTCTATGGCGGATCTAATCTACTTCAGCGGTGGCGATTCATTTCAGATCCGAGAGACTAGGGTTTCGATCGATATGATCGATATGCTGGAATTAAGGGCTGGGGTGGGCTGGTGAGGCATGGAGCGAGACTGGTACGTGATTGGAGGGACTGGAGGAGGATGGATGGGGCTGGTGTGAGCAGGGGTGTCACGCCCCAGACCGCAATCCAAGCGCGTGTACAACCGCCGTATAATTAAGTGACGTCACCCGCGAGTCAACCTCACTTAATTACACAAGGCGTTTGAGAAAACAATCCATCCATACTCAGTAGTAAACATACATAACAACATCACATTTAAACCAATGAATAGCGGAAATATTCAACGGTAAGTCATAAGCCACAACTGGCCAACAACATGGGCATGCAAGCCCCCAAAATAGTTTATAGTAGAACAAATATCCATGAGCAAGTGTTCGGTAGTTTGAAAGAAAATAAGGAAGCACGAACCACGTCTTCCTGAGTTGATATCACCCGTAAGAAGGTGCAAGTAGCAAGCCCTAGCTTCAACCTGAAAATGGTGGGGGCCCCGAAGGGGTCAGTACAAGTACCGAGCGAGTAGCAGGCTAAATATAGAATAACTAGCGTTTCAAGTATAAGACCCAAACATAGGGTGATACTTAAATAATTAGTCTTTTCCCCCAAGTTATGAAATACTTATTAGTGTATATATACTTGGAAAATATCCGATCCGTAGATCACCGTTTTATTTGGGAAAAATAGTAATAGCCAATATTCTTGACTAAAAACCCCAACCCACCCATATACCTATGAGTGTATAGTACTTCTCCTTGTCCTTATTTCTATATCATAATCTATGAGTTTTGAGGATCATAATCCTTGGATACTCCACCAGTTTGTGAGTGTTAAGGACTCATAAGTCCTAGGGTCCTCCACCAAGTTTTGAGTGTTAAGTACTTTTAAGTACTAGGGTCCTCCACCAAGTTTTGAGTGTTAAGTACTTTTAAGTACTAGGGTCCTCCACCAATTTTGAGTGTTAAGTACTTTTTAGGTACTGGGGTCCTCCACCAATTTTGAGTGTTAAGTACTTTTAGGTACTAGGGTCCTCCACCAATTTTGAGTGTTAAGTACTTTTTTAGGTACTAGGGTCCTCCACCAATTTTGAGTGTTAAGTACTTTTAAGTACTAGGGTCCTCCACCAATTTTGAGTGTTAAGTACTTTTAAGTACTAGGGTCCTCCACCAAATTTTGAGTGTTAAGTACTTTTAGGTACTAGGGTCCTCCACCAATTTTGAGTGTTAAGTACTTTTAAGTACTAGGGTCCTCCACCAAATTTTGAGTGTTAAGTACTTTTAGGTACTAGGGTCCTCCACCAATTTTGAGTGTTAAGTACTTTTAAGTACTAGGGTCCTCCACCAATTTTGAGTGTTAAGTACTTTTAAGTACTAGGGTCCTCCACCAAATTTTGAGTGTTAAGTACTTTTAGGTACTAGGGTCCTCCACCAATTTTGAGTGTTAAGTACTTTTAAGTACTAGGGTCCTCCACCAAATTTTGAGTGTTAAGTACTTTTAGGTACTAGGGTCCTCCACCAATTTTGAGTGTTAAGTACTTTTAAGTACTAGGGTCCTCCACCAATTTTGAGTGTTAAGTACTTTTAAGTACTAGGGTCCTCCACCAAATTTTGAGTGTTAAGTACTTTTAGGTACTAGGGTCCTCCACCAATTTTGAGTGTTAAGTACTTTTAAGTACTAGGGTCCTCCACCAAAATATTTTCCTATGATCAACCTCCTATCAACCTAGATAGAGTCTATATCATACTTAGTCCCTCATCACTAATTCAATACATAAAGCTTATGTATCACAATCCATGCAAAGCCATGCAATTATATACATGTATAATCGACTAATATCAACCGATATTAATTAATCCATTATCCATTGGTCAACGTTATCGTTGACCGCCATTTCAAGTCTTACACTTATCAACTTAATCATCATGTAATTAAGTTGATAATATTCATTGGTACTTCTTATACCCTTCAAACAAATATGCATTTTATATAATTCTTCATTTCATATTTCATGCATAAACAATTTATTTCTTTCATACAAACTTAACCCTATTGGATAATCACATGTTTAAATATCTTTTAAACATCATTATGAACTCATATAACATTTATTTAGGTAATCTCATAATTAACCCAAAAGTTATAAGATATTAAGCCGTCCACTCACCTTGAACTAGCGTTATGAAGTTCTACCCTTCTTGGTTGAACTCCGGTAAAACTCCGGCAACTTTTGGTCAACTCCGGCGACAACTCCGGCGACTTTTCCAACTTTGTGAAATCACTTGAAATACCCTTTACAAGTTCCTAACAAGGTTTTATAATCATAAAACCCATGTTAATACAA